GTCAGTATGTTGTAATGTGTAATGTGAGTGAGAATCAATTAGATGGAAACAAAATAAAGCATTTCAAAGAMCGATTTACGTTGTCTTTTATAGTTTTCTAAATAGACTATAAATGTTGAATCTTGGATTCTGCATAGAAAATATACTGCATAACTGTTGAAATGATTTTCCTTAGCAGCCAAATTCGTCCCATTGATGGCTTATAAAATTCATAACAAAATAGTTTACACGGTCTATTACTAAAGTGGACAAAATGTATTAACATGAATTATAATGATAATTATATAGCCACATATTAATCCCAAATAGGTAAAAGCTGGATTTTTCGTTAATTTTGGAATCCTGTCCAATTAAGAAATTAATTGGACAGGTTTTCAATTGGGTTTTTGCTATAATTTTTTTATAATTATGTATGATTATTGACAAAATGTTGTAACACTGATTTGTTACTGATATAAATAAAAGTTATTTTTTGTTAAAAATGAATGTGTCATTACTGTTATTGTTAAAGCTGTGTTCGCTTTTACCTATTTGGGATCAATATGTGGCTATATAATTAATAGGTAATAAGACTCCATGCTGTCCAATTAAGAAATAATTAGACTCGAAAAATTCCTCTGACTTCCAAATTGGACTCGGCCACGGCCTCGTCCAATTTTTGGCAGTCCTCGTAATTTTCCTCGTCCAATTATTTCTTAATTGGACAGCAAATAATTGGACAGCATGGAGTCCTATGACATATAATAAAACCAGATGTATAACTAAATGGGGATTATGCATTGTGCGAGCACAATATGTCTTTATTTGTAGTAAATCTATCGATTTAGTGTTGCCTTTTGAACAATGAACCTGACTGTACAGCTTATATAAAGATAGGAAAATTAAAGTGCCATTTAATAAGGCCTAATAATACAAATAGTTTATTTCTCAAACGCAATGATACATGTGTCTCAATGCTTGCATGAAAATGCCCTTCATAGCAATACAAATATATGACAAATACATTTATCTGTGACATAACTTAATATGCTGTACAAATTATATACAATAAAAATAAGGATATTTACAATAAGAAAAAAGAAATTTTAACGGTTTTGACTTATAGTTAACTTAAGTCATCATCAGAAATGTTTACCCATTAAAAACGAC